TTCCATGAAGCTCTCTGCGCACTGTTCTTGAGCTAATCTGAAGGCCACATGAAGTTTGGAGGTCTGTAGTGATTGACTCTGCAGAAAGTTTGCGACCTCTTCGCACTATGCGCGTCAGCATCCGCTGACCCCGCTCCGTCAGTTTACGTGGCCTACCACTTCGTGGCTGAGTTGCTGTCGTTCCCAAACACTTCCATTTTCTTATAATACAGCTGACAGTTGACTGTGGAATATTTAGGAGCGAGGAAATTTCACGACTGGATTTGTTGCACAGGTGGCATCCTATCACAGTTCCACGCTGGAATTCACTGAGCTCCTGAGAGCGACCCATTCTTTCACAAATGTTTGTTAAAACAGTCTGCATGCCTAGGTGCTTGAATTTATACACCTGTGGCCATGGAAGTGATTGGAACACCTGATTCCAATAATTTGGATGGGTGAGCAAATACTTTTGGCAATATAGTGTATATGATCAGCCTCCTTTTAAACATTCACTTTGTAAAGGTTTTTATCACTACATATATGTCAAAACAGTTCTGATCCATTGTTGATTAGAATCAATACTGACCGACTCCTCTAGCTGGATATGGGGTTGAGGCCAGATATAAAACGTACATCTATGGGTAGAAATAAAAACATATTTTACAGGTGGGGGTCATGGGTATACCTGAACAACATGCGAACAGGTATCATACAGAGTTACAGCATGAGTGAAACTTTTTTTTTATTTTCTTATTTATTAACTCTGCATCTTAAAAAATGAATTGATTCAAGAATATCCAGATGACAGTATTTTTTTAGGCATCTAAGCAAAACTTACTTCGGCCAATTTACAGCTACTAATCTGTGAGCACAGCGCACACTGGATGTTAGCGTGAGGCAATGTTCTTTACTGCCTCTGTTATTATAAACGGCTGTGTGTACACTCCTGGCCGGGTTTTAAATGGGGATAATTGTGGGTAACAGGTTGGGTCTCGGTTCTAGACTCTACTGGTGCAGGTGGATACAGTTTTGAAAAATCAGACCCGTGCAGGACTTTGGTTGAGGCCAATGATTTATAGCCTTTTCATTGGTTCTATTTGCCTAGGCTCAACTTAGCTCAAACAATTTAATTAATCGATTATCGAAATTATCATCAACTAACTTAGTAATTGATTAATCATTAACTTGAGTATAGAGACTAAAACATGCCTTTCGCTGAAAGAGCAACCCACCCAAAGCAGTTATTGTATTCAAGATGAAAAAACCTTCTTTTGTCCATTAATATGCGCTATTCAGAAATTTTCGAAGTTTTAGTGCAGTTTTTGCTTCACTTGGCTTAAGTTTTCTGTAAAATCTTCTTTAAGGAACCTTTTGCCATCTGATTGTTAATCGAAAAAAGAAACAACAGATTAATCAATTAGCTAAATAAGAGGGAGTCTTTATAGACAGGGCTGCCAGTTAGATATATTGCAACTGCTGATACAATAAGACAGCCATAAAAATGTTTTTTTTTAAATTGCCGTTTGGGAGGAATAATAAACCAACAAATAAGAGGTCAATTTCCTTTAGTTATTCCATCTAAAGCTAAATTCTTACCAATTTACCATTCATTTCCTCAGTAGCATACAGACTAGCCCTGTATGCTCTAAAAAAGTATGGTGGCAGACTGTTATTGAAGAGATCCACAGTTTAGGTAATCTTTATATATCTAAGAAATGTAAAGGTGAGGCTGTTCCATATCTCTGTTATAACTCACAAATATTTCACCTGTCCGTCAGCTCCTTCTGAAAAGCTCCAGTTGCAAAGAATGTAGTAAGAGCTCTGAGTGGGTAACATTGAAGTCACAGGAGCTCCAAAATGATAGGCTGAGCAATAGAGATGAGTAGTAAAGGTGAGTTAGCTAATGACCGGAGCAAGTGAGCTACATGTTGCCTTGAGTCTGAGCCAACAGAAGTGACAGACGTCTGGATAGGTGTCAAAAACTTACATGTTTTTGTTCTGTAGAGGTACTTTCAGAGATGCAGCAATGCGAGCTGCATGATTTTAAAGCGAAAACAACAATGGAAACGAAGCTAGGGTTGAAAATCTCAACGTTTCTGTTCGCTCCATCATGAAAACCAATTAGGAAGTGGACGGTTCTGTGACATGGAAGGTAGAAATTAAGTGCTGTTTTTCAATCAAAATGTGAGGTGGTAAAAAATATTGACATAGAAGTAAGTCTGTTAGTGGCTTTAGAAAAGCTGCTTGAATTTAAAGGAGAATTCCGGTTTTTAACACTTTAAGCCCATTTTCTGTAGTGTCCAGGATGAAATCGAATGATCGACACCAAAAGTTTGACAATTGGTCCTGTCTCTGCTTTTTGGCTCATTTAGAATCCACCCCTGGCTGCTTCAGAATGGCTTCCATAGTGCATGTCCGATAATGTCCTTAAAACAACCTTAAACGTTCTTTTTTTAAAATATGCTACTCACCGGGTCGTCAGCTCTGTTCAATGACGTTCCAAAAAAAGTTTCGTAAAGAAAAAACGTTCCTGTAGTGTTTTATTTAGCATTTTGTAAATCCCATTGAGTTCTGTTGGAATAGTCAATATTCCCCTGCCACCGGAAACGGAAATGGGGCCTGTTTACACATAGTTGTAGTCTTTTCGCTTCACTCTGTGTACTCCGACGTCGAGGTGCTAACGTCTCTGTTAAACACTTTTAAAAACTCTGAAAATGGAATACGAAAGGTGGATTCTTGATTCTCGACGTCGGAGTACACAGAGTGAAGCGAAAAGACTACAACTATGTGTAAACAGGCCCCATTTCCGTTTCCGGTGGCAGCGGAATATTGACTATTCCAACAGAACTCAATGGGATTTACAAAATGCTAAATAAAACACTACAGGAACGTTTTTTCTTTACGAAACTTTTTTTGGAATGTCATTGAACAGAGCTGACGACCCGGTGAGTAGCATATTTTAAAAAAAGAACGTTTAAGGTTGTTTTAAGGACATTATCGGACATGCACTATGGAAGCCATTCTGAAGCAGCCAGGGGTGGATTCTAAATGAGCCAAAAAGCAGAGACAGGACCAATTGTCAAAATTTTGGTGTCGATCATTCGATTTCATCCTGGACACTACAGAAAATGGGCTAAAAGTGTTAAAAACCGGAATTCTCCTTTAACCCACAGCAGAACTTTTAAATCAGTAATTATTCATCCTAGAAAAAAAGTAACGCTCTTGGTTTTTAATAGTGTTGCACCGATACCAGTATCGGGCGGGCCCCGATCCAGCACTACAATGGTGGTATCGGTATTGGCGAGTACCAACAAATAGGGCACGATACCATTTTGAAAGCCAAAAGTTTATTCCACTATTGTCACCCATTCCAGGTAGGCAATAGTTGAATAAACGTTTGGCTCTCAAAATGGTATCGGTGACCTCTTTGTTGGTACTCGCTGATATTGAGACCACCATTTTAGTCACCCATTCCAGGTAAGCAATAAAAAGTTCTGCTGGATTCACTTTGTATTCGTCTTTTTCCTGCTTCACTAAGGTAGGCAGCAGCTTGACAAAGCCATGATGGCAATTCTTTTACATCCAAGTAGTATGCAGTCATTAATATATACACACATTAATTTCAAACAGATGATATCGTTATCGGCCGTACTGCACAGCCAGGTATTGGGGCCAAAAAATGGCATAGGCGCAACACTATTTTTTTAAGATGTTTGTGGTTTTTAGCTGTTGATTGGCTAAAACTGAACTTTGGTTGGTTGGCACTAACTGGCAATTCGCCCAATTGTCTACGGTCTACCAAATGTTTGAGTTTCTACAATCAATCAATCTGGATTGTTAGATTATAAACTAAATCTGCAAAGTTTGTGAAAAAAAAAAGCACAAAAGAAAACCCCCTCATTAAGACTGACATTTTGCCAGCATTATGTCAATTTTTTTTAATAGAAAAACATCTTAGTAAAGTAGGCTTGTTATATGTCAACCAGCATAGCAGCCAGTTTGTGGATTCAGTTTTTGAAATGACATCGATGTTAGGGTTTCTGTCTGTGTCCACCACCGAGACGCTTTCATGACGCTTGGAGTTACTCACCGCTCAGTTTTATGTAAATGTTATGCATGTTTACCTAAGTCATCAGGGGGTTTGTCCCATTTACAGTGGAGCCATGGAAAAGGTCAGAAGGGTTCACACAGAGCCACGTGTCGTTATTTGTTTTGCCCTTTAGCCGAGCCGTCTGAATATTGTCCAACTTTAAAGAGCCTTGCTTTTGATCACTAAAACTTTGAAACAGACATTCTGCACATGTTGCCCAGATCTGAAAAGCGACGCAGCCCCTACTGATAGTGTAGCAAAGCCAGCTGGGAAAAGCTCCATCCCCTCATATCCAACAGTGATGGAGATTTTATTTATTTATTTTTTGTGGGGGGGAGAAGTCCTCATCCAAATGACTCAATCAAGCCATAGCTTGTTGTACAGGGGGTTGACGTTCTCTCCTTCCTGCTTCCAACTAGATAAAATTAATCATTGACTCAAACGAAGCCTGCTGAGAGAATTTCCAATTAAGAAAAAAAACCGAAAAAAATCTTCTTATTATTCGAATGTCATTATATTGTTAAGCTAGGAGGAAAAAGTTCCTCACTGGAAATTTTTATTTGTTGTCGATTACCTTCTGTTCTCAAGCTGCGTCTCTATCTTTGAAGCTAAATCTTCCCCCATATTTGTTCCAGACTACTGCTTTAGATTCTTTTTTTTTCCTTTAATGTGTTGTGCTTTTACTGCCAAGATTTAAGCCTCCTGTGCAGGCATGTGTCTGCATTTCATTACCGACCTCGTCAGAATCATTTAGGTACAGTATGTATCAAGTATATCAAAGTTGTGTTTGTGTCTGCTCTTTTTAGTTTGCTGTGACAAAATAATTCCTACAATCCATCCCAAACATTGGCTTTAATGAGCAAAAACTGACTGATTGAATTTGTTGTTTTGGACTGACAGCAGCTGTTTGTGTGTTTTGTCTTCACAGGAGGAATGCTTCCTTAACCTGGAGGCCCCTATCGCTAGAGTCTGCGGTTACGACACCCCCTTCCCTCACATCTTTGAGCCCTTCTACATCCCAGATAAGTGGAAGTGCTTTGAGGCAATCAAGAGGATGATCAACTACTGAATCCCCTGTAATGTATGAAACATGCCAAGGCTTATCATAAAGAGAAATTATGTTAGAAATGCATGCCCTTTTTTTATTTTTATTTTTTTCAAGTATGTTTAAAGACCACATATTAACAACCTGTAATTTGTGTTTGAAACTTTCTCTCTTTTTAAATGTTTGCATGACCTGTCATTAACCAAACAAACATCGGGAAGAGGAAGCTAAACATTTAGAGTTGTGGTTATCTTGGCCTGAGAGATCCCACTATGTCATCATTTTATTAAAAATAAAGCATGAATGATAAAGGCTATGTTGGGAAAACATAAAACATTGTGATTACACTTATAGCATTTAAGAGGAAAGGTAATAGCTAACCAGATCATATTTTTATCTTTAGGAAGTGTGACCACCTGCTAAAAAAGCAGAGGTATCGGACCAATTGTAGATATGGAATAAAGGTGTATAAGAAGGAGAGATTCTAGAAGAGCAACTAATGTGGTTCTTGTCCTCATAACACCTCAAAAACTAAAATATTAAAGTCTCTCCTTTCATATCGACTTTATTTACCAGTAGAAAACATTTAAGACATTCGTCAGACTTAGAGGTATATCTGAGACCGTGGTAGCTTCTGTTAGCATCTTTAATGTTCTTATCTGTGCAGTGCGACTGTAAAAAGGTTCAATGTTCAGAGAGGTTCCCAGGAGAAAAACCTTTCTTCTTTTTTCTCCTGAAAGATGGAAGTGTGATTTAGTTTGCAATGTTGCATCCAAACCATAGATGAGATGATTGGATGTGATGCATAGCCCGACATGTCTGCAAAAGCGCATTTTTCAGGCTTATCCTTTCATTCTAGTTCTCAAAAAATTGTTCAGTGGCTAAACGGAAGAGATTTGATGAAATTTCAGCAATTGCAGCATGAATCAGTTGATTTAAATAACTTTCAATCCTGTTAAAGATAAGATCAATTCCCTGCCTACACAATTGTCCATGAAGGGGATCTTCAACCATAGTCCTGAGGACTGTTCTGCATGTTTTAGATGTGTCTCTGCTCCAGCACGCCCGAATCAAGTGATTGACTTATATTATTATCGCTCAAGGGCTGCAGATGCCTTTTAATAACCCGATTATTTAAGTCAGGGGTGTGGAGGCACTAAAGCATGCCTAGAACATGCAGTACAGTCGGTCCTGAGGATTATATTGGGGTTTGCGTATGTTTCAACCGAAAAAAAGAGTCATGCACTGATTACTATAGGCTAGGTCTGTCTTTTATCATCTGCAGGGATAATAAGACCTTTTAACTTGGGACGGTCAGTGGATCAGATTGCTCCAGAATTCCTCTTTGTCACTGCATATTGAGTTATAGTTTCACACTGCTGGCTCACAAGGAACAATGACACTTTCATCTAAATTGCATTCAAACATATGTCTCTTTCAATCCTCTGCACTCTGCTAAATCATAATCTATCATATTTGGAAAGCCAAGTTCTGTACTCATTGAACCATCTCTTCATCTCCAGGGCCAACTTCTGGTGGACCTGAACTCCAAACTCTCCATCCATCCAACCAGGAAAGAGCAGCCAGAAAAACGCTTTGTTGACCATCCAATAAAAACACACTATCCAGATGGCCTTCATGTTCTGCTATCCTCAGTTCAAAAGTCTGTTACCTTATGTCCACACTGCAGAACCTTGCTGTTTTTGCAAAGGAGAGAGCCGATCAACGGAATCAGCAGTGAAATGTAGGCTTTAGTTCTTATATAGTGTTGAATTTAACAGCAGGGGAAACACGTTTGTTTTGATACGTGACTGCCTTGTTTTGTGTGCTGTTACCCGCTAACCTTACCAACTATTCTCTGATCTGTTTAGTTTTAAATGACATGAAGTGTATCCATTAAAACGGTGTGATTTTTAATCAAAATAAACTTAGACATTTGTTCACAACATTCATTGGTTGAGTTTTAATGTGTGGCTCATTTGTCTGGCAAGGTGGCAATAAGAATAATTGTCTTGATGCCAAAAGGAGCCCAACAGATTTTACTTTCACAAGTGTAGCGGTATCGCAATTGCCATACCGCTCCACTTGTTTCATGTATATAAATTGCTTTATTATAATTATGCAGGGAGTTTTACAGTTCATATGGACACTGCAATGTAAGTAGAGCAGAAAAACAGAAGAAGAAGAAGGAAAAAGAAAAAGAAAAAAACAGGACAAAAGATGAAAGAGGAGATAGGAAGGAGACAATGACAAAACATTTTCAGTCTGCTTCAACACCTGTAATGAGATGGAGAAAAAAAAAAAAGAAAAAAGAACAGCACAACCAAAAAACATGGTACGAGATATACAATAAAGCAAACACCTTGAAACTATCACTAAAGTAATATTATTAAGTCTGACATGTACTCTGTGTTACCTGAAGATATGAATGTGGGGTTTCTGTTTGGAAGTGAATCTCTAAGTACCTGAAGCCTAGCACCTGTAGTTGTTTGTGAGGGTGAACTTGTGCATGTAAAGTTTTAACCATAGAAAAAAATGCTCAATAGTGGTTGTGGAGAGCCGGAGAGGCACACCCCCCAGAGCACTGAGTCCAGCGCCGGGAGACCCAAAGCCCCAGGCGCCCAAGGGGACCCCAGAAGCGAAGGCACCAAGGCGGGGCCAGCCCCGGAAACCAGACCCCACCAAGGCAGGAGGAGAGACAGCCACGAGGAAGCCCCCCAGCCACCGCCATGCCGGCGCCGCGGGGACGAGTCCGCGGGCCCCGCTGGCAGCCGGCCACCCCGAAGTAGGGCCGGGCGCCGAACACCAGCCCCCCCACGGCGCCGACCGAAACGCCCCAGCCCCACAGAGCACCGAAACACGCCCCGCCCCCCCCGCACCAAGCCCCGGCGACCGGCCGCAACACCCACCGCGACCGCACCACCCAGGAAAACACTAAGGCGGCCCCGCCCCCGGCCGGGGCCCATGCGCATCCGCCGCGAACCGGCCACGAGCGCCGCGGGACCCCCCCCAAAACGCCCCCCCCGGCCAAAAGCGCAGCCCCACCCCACCAAGACCGATGCCAACAGCGCGCAACGAAACACACCGCGCACAGAATCAGCCCGAGAGCAGAAAAGCCGCCCGGCGCAAAACCGCAAGAAGAGCAGACCGCAGGCGGCGCAACCACCCCCTCCAGCAGCCCGAGGGGCAGCACAAAGCCAGAGCGGAGTGAACCGCGCCGCCCCCCCACCGGACGATGCCAAAGCAGCCCAGCCACGTCCGCCACCCCCCCCGCAGCCCGCACCAGGCCCCGACACGCGGCCAGAGCAGCTCCGCCGCCCCGGCCCCCCACCACGCTCCGGTCATAGCCACCCCAAGCCCCCACCCACCCCGCAGCCCCACCCGCCGCGATCAGTGGGAACAGAGCAGCCCCGCCATGCCTCCAGGAGGGAAAACCCACCCGAATACCCAGCCAGCGCAGCCAGCCCGCCCAGACCGGCCCCCCAACACTACCCCCGCCGGAGCCGCCCGGACCCCCACACACCAGCGGCGCGCCGCCAGCAGGACCCCCACCCAGCAGGCCCGCCCGCCCCCCGAGAAAACAGACATGCCAAACCCCCCAAAGAAAAAAGAGAAAAAAAAAAAAAAAAGGGGCCCCCACAATGCGACAGCGGACACCAGACACCGACCCGCCCGCAACCGCTCCCCCCCACCGAGGAAGAAAAAAAAAAAAAAAAAAAAATAGGTAAATAAATAAATTAATTAATAATTACAATTAAAATAAATAGGCAAGAGGAGAAGTGCGAGCGGAAAAACCGGAGCCCAAAACAGGACCCAAGACCCGCACCCACCATGCCGCGCAGCTCCCCCCCTCCCCGAACCGATACCACAGAACCGGCATAGGAAAGAAACACCGCCCAGGAACCGGCATCGTAGCGAAGGCACCGGCACCGACCCCGAAAATCCCCGAACAACACCCAGCCCCACCCCGAAGCGGATCCAGTCCCAGGCCCCAGGGATCCGAGGCCCCAAGGGCACCCCTCATTTGGTATCTTTAAACCTACAAAAAAAATAGACTTACTCAGTCACAAAGCATTCCATGCATGGATTATTTTGTTAAAATCGTTGGACTTTATTTGTAATAACCAATTCAAGCTGATGATATGTACAGAAATAAAGTGTGACCAGCTGAATGAAATGTACTATTTATTTGCTTTCTAAGTTTACATGAAGGCTGTGCAAAGAACAAAAGCCATCAATCTCCCACCACTTCCTATGTGCAATTCTCTTCATTTCTGTAGAGGATTCACAAGCTAGATTACACCAAATGCACATCGAGTTTAACCGGTCCAACTACCGTATTAGCCTCTGCCACAGCTGGTCACCATCTGCTATTGACAAGCGTTTCCCTGCTCTGGCTCTTATTTATATAAATATTTTATGCAAATATGATATATTCAAACCCACCCCAGTAGAGGTGGAAAATGTATTATTTTATCAGATGATATACAGACTGTCCCAACTGGCTGTGTGTTAGGAAGACAATTAAAAGTGTGAATCAAATTCATATTGGTCAAATGGATACTCTGCACGTATATGGAATAAATTCAACACAGCTTCCATTCGTCTTTGTGGACGTCTGTGTCTGCGGGCGTAGAGCTAACAGAACTGGCAGCGTTGCGAGGCAAGGGCTCAAACATGTACGGCTGTAAGCCTTCTACACCAAACCAAGCTTCTGCCGCCCTGGCGTCCTCTTCAACAACATCGTCGTTCCCGCTATCCTCCTCTAAATAAAAAATGGATGACAGAGGAGACTCATCCACAACGTCCGACACAAAACTCTCCTCCTCTTGCATGTTTCCTCTGTCCATAGCGTTCCTTGACAGTGTCGTTTCTAAGTCACCAATTTAGTGCTACTTGGTCCCAATGGAATTTCCCATTGGGAACCTGCTAGCACTAAGTGGCTAACTGGTTAGCAAGATGCTTCTGACAAACCGACCACAGTCAAACTTGCTTGCGAACCTTCCGCCACAACAGTCTCACCCTCTTGATAAACAACCAATCAATCGAATTTGCAAATGCAATGGTTGGAACAACTAAGCTAAGAAAAAAAGGAATGAAAAATGGCTGAAAAACATAATAGTTAAAATGAAGTGATGGTCGAACAGTTTATCATGGATTTTTATGTTCCAGAACCAAATTTTTTCTTAAGGCATTTGGAAAAAGGTAAAATCAATTTAATCATCCATCCATTTTCCATCACACTTATCCCGACTCGGGTCGCAAGGGATGCTGGTGCCTATCTCCAGCTTTCGAGAGGCAGGTTAACCGTAGACAGGTCGCCAGTCTATCGCAGGGCAACACAGAGACAACAGCCATTCATTCACACACACACACCTAAGGATAATTTAGAGAAGCCAATTAACTTTACAGTCATTTTTTTGGACTGTGAGAGGAAGCCAGAGTACCCGGAGAGAACCCGTGCATGCACGTGGAGAACATGCAGACTCAATGCAGAACCTTGGAACCTTCTTGCTGCAAGGCAACAGTGCTACCCACTTCTCCACTGTGCAGACTCGATTTGATCAATTTAAAGTAATTATAATGTGTTTTAACCTATTCACAATGCAAATCCAAGAGGTAATCAAATCATTATTTGGTAAAATAATATCTTATTGAATGATTTGCCTAAATGGAAGCCAATAACCTTCAATGACTGATTCTTAGCTTTCTGCGCCCGTAGCTAAGTAGCAAACATGAGGGGAGTCATTTTAAATGTAGATGTATAAATGTCATGAGCATATGAGGAAACTAGTAACTAGTAAATTTAATCAGTTATATTTACATGAGTAACTTTTGGAGAGAAAAAACATGTATTTTTAGCAGTTTTACAGCATTGTCCTTGAGTAAAAATATTTTGAATTATCCCTACTTTTTCTGATTCCTGCATTGTTGTTGATTCATATTTTTGCTTTTGCTTTTCATCAGTTCCAACATCAGATCAGATCTTTACATTTGTGCCTGTTTTTTTCTGTGCTAACTGGTCCTGGATCTGTAAGGCACGTTTTTTTTTTTTGAAAAATGCATATCCATGAAACCCATAATGTGGCATTTGATTGGTCAGATTACAAGATAAGTGTTAGTCAGCTTCTCAACAAGCAACAAGAAAATGTGACGCAATGAACCACTTTATTTACCTGCTGCTGAAATAAATTCCCTGGTGCTGCCACTGGTCAGGAGCTTTCTTATTTTAAGAGCGTGGCAGAATTGCACACGCAATTAGATCATTTAGATTTAGTATATCAGACCTTTTTTTTTTTTTATCTCATCTACATTTCAGTTTAATATGTATTTGCTTCAGACTTTCTGTTCAATCTTGCCTAAAAAGATATTAGTGAGTGGATAATCTAGTTCAATAAAGAAATTAGTTCGCTTTTGTACGTTTACCTATTCCTTTGATAATTTAATGCTGTGACCTATGAACACTTTAGCTGTTGCATTATTGGATTTGACGAAAATAGTTTCTTTACAATCCTGTTAAGTCTGTTTATGGATACCTTTGATTTAAGATGTTGAAATCAATTCAACCTTCTAAAAGTCTCATCCTTCTGCGAAACGTCTACCCCTTAAAACCTGTTCTGTGGGAGAATCTGGAAAAATTAATATACATAAAAGTGAAAATAAAGCCAAAAAACCCTACAGAAAGTACCGCATTTTCTTAAAGAGGCGACAGTGTTTCCTGTTCGTAATAACTATAAAATTGCATAGCAAGTTTAGCTGAACATATGTTTGTTTGCAGGATGGAGATGTAGTCAAAGGATGATGCAAACATAACCTTTATGGATCACGAACTGATCCGATTTGATTTGAGTCCTGACCTTTATGCTTCTCTCAGTCATGCATTCATTATGTTGGTAGGATTTTAAACTAATGACTAAAGTTTGGTGAAAACCAAATCAAATCTTTAAC